TTTCCTCTGAAAGAAGCTGTAAAACTTTGTGAAATGAGTCTGATACGAGTCGATGAATCACTACAGCTCATTTCTCTCCAATGACAGCGATGCTGAGGAGATCCATCCATCCATTCGCTTCCGCTTATCCTTTTCAGGGTCGCGGGGGCGCTGAAGCCTATCCCAGCTGTCATAGGGAGAGAGGCGGGGTACACCCTGACATCGTTTGAGGATATCCTGAACTTAGCTGTTAGCATATCTTATGTGCTTTTCACTTTTTAAACAGCTGTTAGCTACTCTTAGCCTCTCATAGCTGCTGTTAGCCCTTAATAGCCACTGTTAGCCTTTTTAACAGTTGTTAGCTACTGTTAGCCTCTGTTAGCTACAGTTGGCTGGAACTCTCCCACACTCTGTCTTTGTCCTGTCTTCATACACTGACGTCTAATCAGTCGGCAGATGGCCACGCCTCCCTGAGCCTGGTTCTGCTAGAGGTTCCTTCCTGTTAAAAGGGAGTTTTCCTTCCCTCTTTTGCCAAAGCACTTGCTCATAGTGAAAAACTGAATTGAACTGAATTATTGAAACTCTTTTAAATGGTTCAAACATTGTTGGACTCTTACTGAATAAACTGTCACACGATGTGAGGATATTATCAAACTGTTTATCAGAGGAAAAAGTGCGTTTTTTGACTTATTTAGGAGGTGAGGCTGATCTTTAAATCAAAATAAACTAATAATGTATACCGTGTATGTGGTTGGTCTCTAACCACATAAACAAAATCTAGTTGGACAAAAGAGCTAGCGCTAATGTTCCCCCTCGTCAGATTCCAGAAACAACCAGATATTCGTCATGGTTACTCAGTCCATCTTTCACATACATACTACTGTATCTTAATAACTGTACTGTTCCCACAGTGCACCGACACCTCTGTCCTCCTCCCTGTTGCTCAGGTGATGTCAGTGATGGGGGATGACTGGTCTCCCTGTTTCAGAACAAAAACCCAGCTGACTCACTGCACAACCTTCACCGTGTGTGTGTGTTTAGCTCCATATCTGGGAAGTGAGCTAATATCAGTCTTCAGGGTCTAATTTTAGAGTAGTGTGTTTTATTGCAACACCAAGGACGCAGTGAGCCCATACAGTCTCCCTCTCACACTCAGTCCTGATGTTTCCTATTCAGTGGGTCCACAGAGACCCAAGCCGGGCAGCACTCAGCCAGCTGGACACAGAAATCACCAGGAATCATCCACGGCTGATGAATTCATCATGGAAAAAAATCAGTCTGACAACAACAGACGCCTCAAAGCACTTTCTATTGTAAGGTAAAGACCGTAAAATATTACAGAGAAACCACAACAATTAGACAACCTTCATTAGTGAATACTTGGTGACAGTGGGAAGGAAAAACTACCTTTTAACAGAAAGAAACCTCCAGCAGAGACTGGTCGAGGGTGAAGGGAGGAAGACAGAACAAAGACATGCTGTGGAAGAGAGCCAGAGATAATAATAAGTAATGATTAAATGCAGAGATGTGTATAAACACATAGTGAGTGAAGAAGAAACACCCAATGCATCATGGGAATCCCCCGGCAGCCTACGTCTATTGCAGCATAACTAAGGGAGGATTCAGGGTCACCTGGTCCAGCCCTAACTATATGCTTTAGCAAAAAGGAAAGTTTGAAGCCTAATCTTGAAAGTAGAGATAGTGTCTGTCTCCTGAATCCAAACTGGAAGCTGGTTCCACAGAAGAGGGGCCTGAAAACTGAAGGCTCTGCCTCCCATTCTACTTTTAAATACTCTAGGAACAACAAGTAGGCCTGCAGAGCGAGAGCGAAGTGCTCTAATAGGGTGATATGGTCCTACAAGGTCATTAAGATAAGATGGGGCCTGATTATTTAAGACCTTGTATGTGAGGAGCAGGATTTTGAATTCTGGATTTAACAGGAAGCCAAAACAGGAGAAATCTGCTCTCTCTTTCTAGTCCCTGTGAGTGTATGAATGTAGAAAGACTTGTAACTGATCTCAGGTCAGCAGGTGGCTTGTTCCCATTAGCGAGCTGGTTATCAGTGCCATCATCGCTGCTGCTGAGTCTCCACCCACTGAATGAAGCATGTTTGGTGCTCCTTCCTTCACAACCAGCGCATCTCTGCAGCCGTCCTTACTGTGGAGAGTTTGTCGGCCATTGTTGCCTTTAATATTTTTTATTTTGTTCTGACCTGATTAAAGCCCGTGTCCATGTTGAAGCCTCCATTTAACACAAAAGAATAAACTATTATTATTTTATCGGATCAGAGTTTGTTTTTTTTCTTTGAGGCCTTTATTTCATTTAACGACTGTCCCAACTGCAGCAGCTGCAGCTCCAAGTGCAAACAGCAGGACGCTGTCGCCAGGCAGATCCTCGGCTCGTACCCTGTTACCAAGCCCCACTGCAACTGTTGGCCCCGGCCTCTGCCCACTGTCTCCACAGTGCATATTTGAAATGGTGAGGCAGGGAGGAGCATGGCAGAACACATGGCTGTGCACTCTCTGTTATCAGCTCACATGTCCTCATAAAGCACAGTTTTAACTCAGAGCCTCCTGATTTGGGTGAACTGCCTTCAGAAAACTTTGACTCGACTCCAGGATCAAATATTTAAGCTCAGAGGCTGAAAAACGGAGCAAAGCACCAAACCTGCAGTTCTTCTAATGTCCACCGGAGGCTCCAGCAGTGAGTCCGTCAGCGTTTACTGGGCCTGTGTCCTGTCTGTTTGCTGTCAGCATCATGTGACAAGCAGCTCATATCTGCTGAGGTGTCCACAGCTGTCTGGCCATCTCCGACTTTGTTAGCGACATTTCTGCGATTCCGGAGAACGAGAGGGAATTTCAGAGGTGACAGCAGCTCATAGTTTGTTCTACAGAGACACGGACGCGCATCTGCTGGATGTGAAAGGCCTTCAGCCTTCAACAATCTGCTGACAGATGTCAGCTGTGCCTCTCTGTGTCTGTTATCACTGCTGTGGCTGTCCACATGAGCCAAACCCCCAAAACTCCAACAGCCACCAACAAGATCGCTGCCTGTGATTGGTGTTCCATGGGTGACACAGACTTTTGAATCACTTTATTCAGGAAATTCACAACCGTGGGATAAATAAAGTCCATCCTTCATCATTGTCCTCACCTGTGTATCCGTTTCATGGCACAGGTTGGAGCCTATCCCAGCCTTCAGTGGGTGAGAGGTGAAGTTCACTGTGGACAAGTGTTCAGTCCGTGACAGGATGGACAGATGAAGTGTGTAGGAAAAGAACATTTTCCACAATCTTAAAATAAGCATTTTTTAGTTTAAAAAGCTGAAATAGTTACAAATGTATCCAAATATTAAAGCTACAAATGAGGATACATCTGCAGTACTGTAGAAGTGTTCTTACTGGAGGCAGATGACGTCATAACCTACAAATAGCTGTTCTCAGCTTTAATCCGTATATTACATGTTTGTTTATAATATCGGCGTTAGCCATGTATTATCAGTGAGACGCCATCTTTAATGACGTCTCCTGTAGGCAGCTCGGTCCTCGTGTCTTCACGCACGTCTCCTGAATGTTTTAGTCTAAATGACGCGTTTCGATTACGTTTCGTACGCTAACAGAAATGCAGAGAGATTTTTAGAGACAAGCTTTATTTTCACTCTTTAATGTTCAGACTGTAATCTGTATTGGCCACCGTGAGGCTTGTTTAACCATTATTATAAGCTGCTGTAGATAATTTCATACGTGCAGTCAGAAGGTCAGGCCCTGGATCCACTCCATCAGGTCAGGAATGTGAACGGCTGCAGGAGCTCCATCCTCCTGCTTACAATATCGTAGGGAGATTGTTTTTAATCTTAAACTACCAAAAAACTTTCATTTGTTCACAGAAAATGATAAAAATGATGTCAGCACTCAGGACCAAATCCTGCAGTTCCTCTGATGTCCACCAGAGACTTCAAAAGGACAAACATGTTTATGATGTTTGGTCTCCAACATTAACTTCACCTTTAAAACTCAACTTAAATTGTATTAAAGCCTAACGTTTGCGTTATTAGAGGTGTGGCCTCTGACAGGTGGATGGGGACACAGGTAGCTCTAGCTGCTAGCTGTGTGCTAGGCGTCACCTCAGCTAACTGGAGTCCCTGAACTGGACCTGTGGACCGTGTTTGTGCTGTTGGAGCCTTTTTAATGACATCATCTGATCAAAAATATGGCTGCTGTGAGGTTACTGTAGTAACAGACCATTTATGGTTGGCTGGTACTAGCAGGAGCTTGCTAGCCAGGCTGAGTAGCATTAGCTAATAGCATATGCGCTTAAATCAGTTACCGTCACTGTGTCGGTGATTTGGGAACAGTCTGTGGTAACAACTACAAACACTGACTTTGAGCGCTATATAAATACAGGCCATTTACCATTTACTGACTAAGCTACAGAAACCGGAGGTAAGTTTATTCATACTTAAAAGCCTTATTTGTCTGTTATACTGTTTCTTTTAGTCCTGGTTCCAAGGCTCCTCCTTTTCCAGGGTCCATTTTCCTTTGGAGATATTCAGTTGTCCTTCTGCTTCAAGGTAAAGTTGGGCAAATCGATATTATTGGCACTGGTATTGGTATCGGTTAACGTGAACATCATTTCCTGAAGCAAGATTAATATGAGTAAGTATGAGTGAAATAAGAAAAAGCACATGCCGTTCACTTTAATCACTAACTCGTTTGGTCCATTGTCATCATCTTCATCCTGAGACAGCATCACTCTGACCTGACCTCTGTGTGAGGTCAGTCACTCATCGCGGTGCTGATGCACGCTCAATCATCCAGGTAAGTAAATCCCAAAAGGTTGATTCTGTTCATCTGGACGTTTCAGTGGGAGAAACATTTTGTCATCATCAGGTGACGTCTTCAGTCTCAGCTGACTGCAGGTTTCCAACATTATAAACAGGACATTTGCACAATGACTGAAACCAGCAGCACTGAAGGAACGTGAGGGAAAGACCATCTCTGAATGGAGGAGGGGGCCTAAGGGTTCATCTGTCACCATCCTACAATGCTGTGATTGCAGCTTTTCCCCAACTCTCTGTGAATGGTACTCATGGTTACTGATCAGTGGTCATGAGAATTTGTATATTAATGATCATGAACTGACCTCCCGGCCCTTTGTTCATCAGTGCTGCAGGTTTCAGTCATTGTGCAAATGTCCTGTTTATAAGGTTGGAACCTGCAGTCAGCTGAGACTGAAGACGTCAGCTGATGATGATGAAACGTTTCTCCCACTGAAACCTCCAGATGAACAGACTCAACCTTTTGGGATCATCGTGGTGTTCGATTTCAGGATATGGCTATTGGCAAAAGACTTCTTCAATAAATGTTCCCAAGACACACTTTAAGTACATCGTCATCACAGTGTTTAGATTCTGCTTTCTGACCTGTTGTCATGACATTAAAAATGGTTTTTGTTGTGGTATTTAGCTTTAATAATTGTGTCCTCTGTTGAAAAGGACAAGCGGGATATCATAAGGTTCTATAAGGTGTTTCAGTTGAGGAGCACTGTGGTGAACCCTGGTTACTGCTGCCCTCTGCTGGTGACAGACGCTCACAGCACTTAAAAGGACCAATCGGGTTTGTTCTCTTTGTTTCATCTTTATGAATCAATAATAATATAAAGTTACAGTCTATGTAACAGCATCACAGAGTTTAATCATTTCACCTGTTAGTCTTCATTTTATTAACACCAGTCACACTGATAAAAACTGAACAGTGAGTAATAATCTATAAGTTTAATAAGTCAAGTTGAATCCTGTTGCACATGGAGGAGCATCTGTAAGTCTTTAGTCCATGTTTGTAGTCTTTCAAGAGAGCATTTAAGCTAACAGTTTCCAGTCATTGTGCTAAGCTAAGTACCATCCTGGAGGAGACGGTGTGGTTAGCATGCAGCCTCTTGCTGTGCAGAGGTTGCCGGCTGCATCATTTCCTCTGCCGCCTCCTCCTTTGCGTCTCTGATGGCGTGGTTTCCGAGGCAGGGAAACAGCTTTCTGATGGTGTGTCTGAACGGGGCGTTAAGGTAGAAGAAGATGAGCGGGTCGAAGCAGAGGTGGAGCACGCTCAGCAGCAGAGTGGACTCCTTCCCCAGAAACAGCCACTTGTTGGTTTCACAGTCTGTGATGAGTTTGGTCTGGGCCAGCGTGTACGGCGTGCGGACCACGTGGTAGGGGACGAAGCTGAATACATAGGCCAACGCCACAGCCGCCACGCTTGCCGCCACCCTCCTGGCGTTCGCCCAGAGTTTGGGGTCGCTGCGGCTGCGCAGGAGCTTTTTGACAGCCAGGGTGCTGGAGATGAGCATGGCGGCGGAGGCGTTGAGGAAGAGCGCCGTGCAAAGGAAGACCGTGAGAGCGTGCCAGTGAAGGCTGATGTCCTTCTTCAGAGAAGAGCAGCTGAGGTAGGTCTGCTCCTGCAGGAGCAACAGAAACACACCAGTCTGAGGCACAGTGTCACCTCCTTCTGCTCAGAGGACAAAACGTCTCCAATAGCCGCCGCCGGCCTGCATGGTGCACTTTAGACATGTGAATCGTGCACCTCCAACGGTCACAGAGGCTTTATTGTCAGGACTGTTGCCTTACCTTGACCTGTTTTATTGGCAGGGCCATGTTGGGCACCATGATGAGCAGCAGCAGCAGCCAGACGACCAGCGACAGCAGCCGGGCGAAGCCGACCTCCTGCAGCCGCAGAGAGCGCACAGTGTGGCATTCCTGCAGGAGGACACTCACATTTTTGTTTCTGATGTCTGAAAACGATTTCAATCTAAACACATAAGAAAGACCGCACGGTGCGTGGTGCCCACTAACCAGAGCGCTGCTTTTGAACATTTTTGGAGCGTACCTGCAGGTAGCGGTCTGTGATGATGAAGGCGAGGAAGGCGATGGATGCGTAGAGGCTGATGTAGATGGTGACGGCGCTGGCCTGGCAGTGGAACACCATGAGGTTCCACGGCGCCACCCCGAGGTCCTTCATGATCTTAAAGGGCAGCGCGAGCAGGAGCAGCAGGTCGGCCACCAGCAGGTTAATCAGGTAGATGCTGGCGCTCTTCTGCTGAGGGACACAAAAACATCTAAACATGGAAACGGACTCAGATCATCAGCTCTGCTACTACAGCCACCTGTGCTGCAGCTGCCTTAATACTATCTAACCAGGTGAGTTTAAAATAAACTTCATGCATTTGTTGTGAAGCAGTTCTGTTGGACCTTTGAACATGCAGGACTGTGGGGACTGACTCACTGTCGGAGCCTCCAGTGGACATTAGAGGAACTGCAGTTCGGGGGTAAATTAATAAATTCTAACAAATGAAATTTAAAATGACCAAAAGCTCTTTGAATTTGTCCAGAACCTGTAGTTTGGGTAAGGTAGGAGTACTTACCCCACACTGGGGTAAATGTGTGTTCATGGGTGTTTTTAAGGCTGTGCTGAAGCGTCTTAAGCCCCATTTTCATTAGTACCTAATCGGATCGACTTGGCAACCGTTCGCCACGGTTTCCAGGGTTTTCCATTAGGTCATAGTCCCTGCTCACCCAGGCAGGTACTAAAATGTGACATCATCAGACTGCGTGCCACATATTGGCCGGTCAGAAGCGCCACTTGATGAGTCATGAGAGCGTCTCACTCGCAAAAATGAAAACTGTCATTTTTTAAACTCGGCAACGAAGGAAAGCAGCAGGTTTATTCTTGCCTCGACGTCCTTTCTTGTAGCGTTCGTATCGCATGATTATGTCGCTGGCCACACAGATGTGTTGCTATGACGACAAGCACGCACACTGGGTTGTAATGGAAAACCGGTTGATCTGAGTAGGTACTGATGCAAAAGGGCTTTAAATCTGCCTTCTTTTTGTCCACATCTCCATCTGAGAGCTTTGAGCTCAGAGGAGTCAGAGGCTGATGGATGATTTCATTTTAAAGCTTCATTTTTAAAACCTCGACTTTCTAAATCTTCTTCTATGTCCGAGGAAAAGAGAAGCTTACAGTGAGTCACGGGGTCAGACAAATCCTCATTCCAGCTCATTTCACCATAACCGACCACAAATCCTCTCATCACTTCTTCTTCTCTTATCTAATACGTGCTCTTCAAGCACCTTTACACTGTCATGTGACACCTCGCCACAGGACATTCGCCTCACTTTTCACCTCGTGTGTGACCTCGGGTCATCTCGAGTCGTCCTGCCTACCTTGGCTCTGGGGCAGCGGATGAAGGCCCACACTGACACCAGATTTCCAGGCAGACTGATGATGAAGATGAGGATGTAGATGACTGTGAAGGGTCCCATCTGGTCGTTGACGATGCAGGGCTTCTCCTCCGGAGCGCCGCCGGTGCTGAGATTGGTGGCAGGAGTCATTGTGAGGTGGCGCTCGTCGGGAGGTGAAAGCAAAGAGGCTGCAGGGCTGCTCACGGCGGCATTCACTGTCGGCCTGAAAACAGGAAGAGGATCCACTCCAAAGATTAAACCACAAAATCTCATTTGTATTACAGCGTCGGATGAATTCATCTCGCTCTGTAGAAACGCAGAGAGATCGATCGAGCACACGTTAAAAATGCACAATCACATGTTTTTATCTGTCTGCACTGAAAGTGTTGCGGTCAGTTTAAACACACTGGTTTCATTTCTTTCCCAGCACCTGCAAAAAATGTTTTTATTTCATAAATTATTTCACATATTTGGCAGTGGATTCATGAGAAGCATGAAAAAGGGGCCAGTTTAGGTACAGGTGCATAGATGTGTAGGCAGGCATGAATGTGTTAAAGGGTCGGTGAGAAGGAAAGCGTGTAGGTTGACAGGGAAAAGTGGAAAGCTCTGGAGTAGGAGGGAAGCAAAGAAGAACCAGGAAGGTTTGAGGTGGGAAGGAGGTGCTGTAGCTGCTGGCACGAGCCAATGAGAGTTTATCCTTTTAAACTGTGAGAGGTCATCGGCCAAGCAGGGGGCGGGGCTCTGAGAGATCCCGGCGTACACAAGTGGTTCACTCAAACTGTTACATGCAAGTTTGCAAATCTGCAGCAGCTGTGACACACACACACACACACACACACACACACACACACACACACACACTTGTTTTCATATCTTAGTGACGACATCTAACTGACATAATGTTTTCCCTAGCTCACCCTAACCATCAAGAATGAATGCTAACCATAACCTAACTGTAACCCTGACACTAAAACCACACTTGAGTCTCAAACATGCCTTCAAACTTGTGGGGACGGGGTTTTGTCCCCATAAGGGCTGTTGGTTCCTCACAAAGATATGTAAACATGGTACACACACACACACACACACACACACACACACACACACACACACACACACACACACACACACACACACACACACACACACCCACACAACACACACACACACACACACACACACAAGAAACAGAGACAAACACATTGAAATCAGAGCAGCAGCACAGACACGTTTCTCTGCACAAACATTTACTCAACTTTAGAAGAATTTAAACAGCTGCTGCTGTAAACAGGACGTGCTGATCAGCCACACACAGTCTCATCTGATCTTAACTGACATGTGTCCGTGTCTGTGTCTGTGATGTGACTCTGTGTCTGTGATGTGTCTGATGTGACTCTGTGTCCGTGATGTGTCCGTGATGTGACTCTGTGTCCGTGATGTGTCTGTGATGTGACTCTGTGTCTGTGTCGTGATGTGACTCTGTGTCCGTGATGTGTCTGTGATGTGACTCTGTGTCCGTGATGTGTCTGTGATGTGACTCTGTGTCTGTGATGTGCTCTGTGTGTGATGTGACTCTGTGTCTGTGATGTGTTCTGTGATGTGACTCTGTGTCTGTGATGTGACTCTGTGTCTGTGATGTGACTCTGTGTGTGTCTGTGATGTGACTCTGTGTCGTGATGTGACTCTGTGTCCGTGATGTGATCGTCTGTGTCCGTGATGTGACTCTGTGTCTGTGATGTGTCTGTGATGTCTGTGATGTGACTCTGTGTCCGTGATGTGTCTGTGATGTGACTCTGTGTCTGTGATGTGTCCGTGATGTGACTCTGTGTCTGTGATGTGTCCGTGATGTGACTCTGTGTCGTGATGTGTCTGTGATGTGACTCTGTGTCCGTGATGTGACTCTGTGTCGTGATGTGTCTGTGATGTGACTCTGTGTCTGTGATGTGTCTGTGTCTGTGATGTGACTCTGTGTCTGTGATGTGTCTGTGATGTGACTCTGTGTCCGTGATGTGTCTGTGATGTGACTCTGTGTCGTGATGTGACTCTGTGTCGTGATGTGTCTGTGATGTGACTCTGTGTCGTGATGTGTCTGTGATGTGACTCTGTGTCTGTGATGTGACTCTGTGTCTGTGATGTGTCTGTGATGTGACTCTGTGTCTGTGATGTGTCTGTGATGTGACTCTGTGTCTGTGATGTGTCGTGATGTGACTCTGTGTCTGTGATGTGTCTGTGATGTGACTCTGTGTCGTGATGTGTCTGATGTGTCTGTGTCCGTGATGTGACTCTGTGTCCGTGATGTGACTCTGTGTCTGTGATGTGTCTGTGATGTGACTCTGTGTCCGTGATGTGTCTGTGATGTGACTCTGTGTCCGTGATGTGACTCTGTGTCGATGTGACTCTGTGTCTGTGATGTGTCTGTGATGTGACTCTGTGTCTGTGATGTGACTCTGTGTCCGTGATGTGACTCTGTGTCTGTGATGTGTCTGTGATGTGACTCTGTGTCTGTGATGTGACTCTGTGTCGTGATGTGACTCTGTGTCCGTGATGTGTCTGTGATGTGACTCTGTGTCTGTGATGTGACTCTGTGTCTGTGATGTGACTCGTCCGTGATGTGACTCTGTGTCTGTGATGTGTCTGTGATGTGACTCTGTGTCTGTGATGTGTCTTGATGTGACTCTGTGTTCTGTGATGTGTCTGTGATGTGACTCTGTGTCCGTGATGTGATCTGTGTCGTGATGTGACTCTGTGTCCGTGATGTGTCTGATGTGATCTGGTCTGTGATGTGACTCTGTGTCCGTTGTGATGTGTCTGTGATGTGACTCTGTGTCTGTGATGTGTCTGTGATGTGACTCTGTGTCTGTGATGTGTCTGTGATGTGACTCTGTGTCTGTGATGTGTCTGTGTCTGTGATGTGACTCTGTTTCTGTGATGTGTCTGTGATGTGACTCTGTGTCTGTGATGTGATCTGTGTCTGTGATGTGATTGTGCCGTGATGTGACTCTGTGTCTTGATGTGTCCGTGATGTGACCGTCGTGATGTGTCTGTGATGTGACTCTGTGTCTGTGATGTGTCTGTGATGTGATGTCTTATGATGTGTCTTGTGTCTTTGTGAGTTGATGTCTGTGATGTGATCTGTGTCGGTGTGTCTGTGATGTGATCTTGTCGTGATGTGTCTGTGATGTGACTCGGTCTTGATGTGACTCCTGTGAGTCTGGATCTTTGTGTCTTCTGTGATGTGACTCTGTGTCTGTGATGTGACTCGTGTCTGATGTGTCCGTGATGTGATTTGCATTCGTGTGCTCGTTCTGTGTGATGTGTCTGGTTGTGATGTGACTCTGTGTCTGTGATGTGTCTGTGATGTGATCGTTCCTGTGTCTGTGATGTGACTCTGTGTCGATGTGACTTGTGTCGTATGTGACTGTTGTGATTGTCTGTGATGTATGTCTGTGTGTGATTGTGTCTGTGATGTTCTGTGATGTGACTCTTGTGTCGAGTGACTCTGTGTCCGTGATGTGACTCTGTGTCCGTGATGTGTCTTGATGTGACTCTGTGTCGTGATGTGTCTGTGATGTGACGGTCTGTGTGCTGTCCGATGTCTGTGTCCGTGATGTGACTCTGTGTCTGTGATGTGTCTGTGATGTATCTGTGATGTGACTCTGTGTCTGTGATGTGACTCTGTGTCCGTGATGTGACTCTGTGTCTGTGATGTGTCTGTGATGTGACTCTGTGTCTGTGATGTGTCTGTGATGTGACTCTGTGTCCGTGATGTGACTGTGTCCGTGATGTGTCTGTGTCCGTGATGTGACTCTGTGTCTGTGATGTGTCTGTGATGTGTCTGTGATGTGTCTGTGTTCAGGGCACTTTCTCCCTTCAGTTAAACAGACTTGAAACAGGAGCTGACACAGAAACAGGTTTACAGCCGACGGCTTCAAACACTCAGCTGCACTAAATTTCCTCTCACGCTCACAGTGGAAATCCAGCACGCCTACAATCTCAAACTGACAGGTTTTTGTCAATAAGTTTTGAAATCAGAGGAATCATCATGAAGCGCCCTGTTTGAAGTTTGTTAGAGCGTCTGGTTTACCTCAGATCTCTCACCATCTAAACCCTGAAAATGAGCAACAGCTACTGAATCCTCCCGATGTGCCGACACAGCTGCTCCCAGCTGGTTTCAGGTCTTCTTCATCTTCTAACAAGCTCCCCTCAAACTTGTTATTTATGATGTTTGTAGATGTTTTCTTATCGTGAATAATTTTCTGTTATCTACATTATTATAAGCAGCCACAAACCAGATGAACTGCACATCTTATAGAACATTAAACCAAAAGTTCTGGTTTTGAGGTTCAATACATCAGCAGTTGTTGGCGGAGCATTTATGAATGTAACCGTCACGTAAACATAAAAAGGCTGAGAAGCTGCTTTCTATGTTTACATACGAGCCTCTGACCTCTGAGCATTTCTGCTTTTTCAGAAACAGCAGCGAGCTGTGGTAGAGCCCGAGGTGTGAGACGGGCACACGCTGACGTGCAGGATGTAAAATAAGCTCTGTGGTCGCAGCAAACCTGTGTGAAGCAGGAAGTCAGAGAAAAGAAAGCTCGCGATCACGGGAGCTCATTTTCATGTCGAAGAAACACAAACCGATGCAGATTCTGTGATGACAGCTGCAAACCATCAGCACGTATCCTGTCCTGGTGATAATCCTCTCAGAGAGAATCAGCAGGTAAGAAACATCCTGTAACGTCGAGTCAGGATCACAGATCTGCTGCATTTAAATGCAAAAACATTTCTTTTTGATCCCATCAAACCACCGAAGCTGAACTGAGCCAACCGCTGCGAGCTGCACACATGAAACAAGTTATTTCCACCTGCTTCTGCACAAAAAATCACATTTTAATTTTCACAAATCCGCCTTCCGTAATAAAACATCACTCGTGTCATATTTTGACTTCCAAAGAAGAGGACCGTTGGTCAGCCTGCTCACGTCCTTCAGTTTTCCTCACTCTGAAGGTGATTCTGTCCCAAAAACATTCACTTTCTGCTAACGCTTAGAGCGGGGCGTCCTCCCTCCACGGCGCTCGTTTCTTAACGGTAACTAGACGTTAGAAGTTAAAGTAGGGTGACCAAGCGTCCTCTTTTTTTGCACTTGTTGACTTCTTGACTTTCACCATTCATTAACGGCACAGAAAAAGCATCATTTAAATATGTTAAAATTTTCTTTAAACGAAGTTTATCAAAGTCCTTCATGACTGGGCCAAGTGTCCTTTTTCAAAATATGGTCACCCGAAGTTAAAGCCCGGCTGAAGCGGCTGAGCGTGGTGGTTGAAAGTGATGCTATCAGGAGGCCGCTGCTCGCTTCACGCCCCAAATCAAAATGGAGGATGCCAAAAAGCACCCCGGGGCGCTATGATGCCCCCAACACTCGCAGAAAGGTGTTTTACCTTAACAGTTGTTCCCATGAGGGCCTCATTCGTTCTGAAAGAGCTCCCCATAGGTGGAACAGGAAGTCCTCGAAGTTCTCAGCCCAAACCAGGAGAACGTGGCCTCCAACACGATCTGACTTCCTCTCTGTCTGTGGCTTCACCTGAACACTGGCTTTTGTTCAAGCCTCACAAACGCTGGTATTTTAATCAGACAGGAGGAGAGAGCGCTCGTCTTCAGGACTATTTTCAGCGGCGGATGAATCCACATTCTGTGAATATTTGTGGCAGGAGGACGACGCATGTGCACCCAAGTGAAAATAAACTGCGTTGCATTTTTCGTCCAAATAAGGAAAATAAAGCAGGAAAATTTAGACAAAGGAAATCATCTGTACTGAGTCACACAAACTGGGGAAAAATCAGCTTTACAGAAAGCGACACCGGGGGTTTAGCTTTCTTTGAAAATGAAGAGTCATCTAAAGGTCATGGCACTCAGACACCAGGGTTTGGGACTAGAATTTCCACCTGCAGCTGCAGTCGTATGATAAACACGCAGAGGAGGCAGAAATGTCCAAACCCGTGTCGAGACCGCAGAGACGAAGCGGTGAAAGCTGAAGGAGAGAACCACGAGTCTCAAGATGCATTTCAGCATGTGCCCAGGAACCTGCCGCTTTTGGATGCATTCAGTATTTTTATCCCCCGAACCTTAAAAAAGGAACAGCCTGTATATAAAAGAGGGACACCATAGTGTTTACACACTGGTTTTGTATCACAAACGGGGTGCGGCGGTCCAGTTCAGGGACTCCAGCGAGCCAAAGCGAAGGCCAGCAGACAGCTAGCAGCTACCTGCCAGTCAGAGAGGCCACAGCCCCAATTATGCAAACGTTAAGCCTTGAAACAATCAAACAAGTGAGTCACGTACAGCTGTTGTGAGGAAATTAGCTAAACCGTTTCTGTATCAGGCTGTAAACATGTTTTACCTCACTGCTCGAGCCTCTGCTGGATGTTAGAGGAACGCAGCTTTTGGTTCCTCATTTGTAATCCTTTAACACAGCGATATGAAATATTGAGGAGAGGTTAGAAAATAAACCTACACGCTGTGGAAGTTGTGAAAAGATTACCAAACTGTCACAGAGGTGACATTTCCTGTTCTAAATCAGTCAAACAACCCCAAAGACACACAAGCTCAGCACAAAAGGATGTAAAACCACCAGAGTGACACGAAAGCGACCACAGAGACGTGAAGTGATCAGACAGAAAACTACTGAAAGGAGACGACGAGACCCGAGGACGGGAGCAGGAAGAGAAAATGACTCTCAGATCACAGATCTCAACTCTGTTAGTTCATTATTTCACTCTGTGTGTGTGTGTGTGTGTGTGTGTGTGTGTGTGTGTGTGTGTGTGTGTGTGTGTAGTTTGTGTAGTGTAGTGTGTAGTAGTGTGTAGTAGTGTGTAGTAAGTGTGTAGTTAGTGTGTAGTAAGTGTGTAGTTAGTGTGTAGTTAGTGTGTAGTCAGTGTGTAGTTAGTGTGTAGTTAGTGTGTAAGTTGTGTGTGTGTGTGTGTGTGTGTGTGTGTGTGTGTGTGTAGTGCGTGTGTGTGTGTGTGTGTGTGTGTGTGTGTGTGTGTGTGTGTGTGTGTGTGTGTGTGTGTGAGAGAGAGTGTGCCGGTCATCCATTTCACATGGTCCCCCTTGAAACAGACATTCCCACACAGTCACGATTGTTTCCCCTTAAAAACAAACCTGAGTGAATCTTCAGCTCCTGCCTCGTCCCCTCCCGGGCTCTCGGACCGCGTGTTGGATCCCTAAGGGACTGAGCGGGCCCTCCGGCTTCTCTTCGGGTCCTCTGTGTGCGTTTGATTCGGTGTGTCAGTGCAGATCATGTGCTCGGAGCTGCGGAAGCTGCAGACAGATGGAAGGTGTTTTCCTGCCTGTTAGCAACACGCTGCTGCTGTCGTCAGTGTGACCACAAGCCCCGCCTCCCTGACACACACACACATATATGCATATTGAAGGCGTTTCCAGCAACTGAGTTGTGAGTAATGATTCTTTACAGATAAATTTAGAGACTTCTGGTTTATCTGGCTGATCGGCACTTATCAGCTTTTAGCAGAAGTGGGGAAAAAAGTTAAAGTCCACAGAAGAGAGGAAGGGGACGATGATGTCTCTTTAACAGTGAAAATGTCAGCTTTAGTGAAAGTAAAGAGTAACAAATGTGCTCTAAATAAACGGTTCGACGTCACAGCCCTGAGAGCAGAAATCCCCGGGCAGGCGCAGAGCGAGCGACGTCCACAGGTGAGGTCACACCTGCGGTTCCTCTGACCCGCTGCAGCTCATCAAGCTGTCTGTTTCTTTAACACAAGCACACACTCGGAGCTCAGCCCAGCAGAGCCGCCGTGTCATGATGTCAACACGGAGCAACGTCTCGCTCCTCGTTGGATGAGCCGCCATGAAAGAAAAGGGAAAAACAGGCGCCCGGCCCAGCACGTCTGCGGCTATGAACAGAGACGTCCTCAGATGCAGTTAAAGACACCGGGTCCTGTGGACAGGCGGGCAGCGCGCACGTCTGTGTCAACGTGATAACTCAGTGAACTCAACTTAAAGGTCGGAGGTCAAGTTTTCTGAAAATTGAGGTGGAGAAAATGTAGGGTTTTCATACCGTAGCTGCGGGGAGGCCGAGGGTGAGGCACGAACTCCCCCCTGAGCTTTACAGCCTGAGCTGCACACAGTTTGCACAGAGACTGTGATGATTAATGCTTAACCTCAGGAAGATACGCACAACTTCAGCAGGTGTCTTAACACAGCAGCGCAAAGCTACACCGCTTGTGTTTGTTTTCATTAAGGAGGGAAAATGCACATAAACGAATTCATCACAGGAGCGTGTGGATGTGATGGATTCATGTGCGGTGCCTGCATGTAGATGCATGCAGATGACACTTAAAGGCAGTGGAAACATGTAAGCGCAGCCAAGAGCAGGAAGCACGATGGATGATAAGATGAGAGTCATAAACCAGTGTGAGGTCTGTGATGAAGAGAAAAGCGTAGAGACAGTCAGGGCTGTTTGTGCTGCGTCCCTGCAGGAAGTGTCTGTCTGATGTGTAGGAGGGCAGGACGCGCTGTGATAAGTATCTGCAAACTGAATCACGGTTTCCCACGTTGTAAAAAAACACGCGGCAGTGCGCTGTGTGAATGAACGTGAAGGAGCGGAGAAACTCTGCAGACTTCCAGCTGCTTCACGCACAGATGAGAAAGCGCAGTTACACAAATGTCACGCACTCGCTGCTCCATCATTTCAGACGATTCTCAAATTGAATTCGTGTCCAGAAAAATGAGGCAGGCAGACTACGCTAACAGGATGTGATGTCACAACATGTGCAGGACGTACTTCTTTGTTATGGAAAACAAATTAAAATCACCGTAAATAAACAGGAGTGCTGATTTCTACAACTAGGCTGGAAGTGCACAATAACATTTCTTTTTTTAAACGTTTCTGTGCAAGACTCAGAAGAGAAACAGCGAAAGTTGTGTGTTGTGCGTGAAACAGGAATGAAGTCTCCGTGAGTGCACACACAGCAGCTGTGAGGCGAAAGCGCTGAAATCAGAGAAAACGTACAAAGCGAAAGAAAACGAAGACCGTCTCCTGACCTGTCCCGTGAACACCGGCGTCGTGACGTTCATTTGTTTGCGGTCGCTTCGTGTATGAGAATATTTTATTGGTCAAAAAGGCTGCGGTGTGTGTTTGAGAGGACCTCACAAATGTCACAGATCAGATGTTCAGTGTTTATTTGCTGGTTTGTCGGAAGCGGCTCCAAGTCTGCCGCTGTCTGTTCGTCTGGGACCCCGGCACACAGCTTTCAACCCCCGCTGGGTTCAGCTCTCGGTCTGTAGGGTCACGCTTACGTCACTGTTTAATTTGGCTCAGATTAAAGTCTCATAACTTTAGTTTAATGTCTCACTGAGCACGTGTTCGACTGAACCATTCGCGCCAACTTTGAATTTAAACTAACATTAAAAATAATTTTTACAAGGAAAGAAGAGAAGACGCTGTCCAGAAATGATCATCTGTTATTAATATGTGTTCAACTATATTCAGCACCAGCTGTCTGTTAGGATGAAATAAGTAACATCTGATTTGTGTTTGTTTGATGTTGCGTTTAACTGTGTTAGAAACTGTGAAACACGCGACAGAAGAAAACCTGCTCACGAACGAGACGGAAGGAAAGTTTCCTTCATAGCTAAACATGTTAATAACAACTCCACATTTAGTGTATAACACAGCACGTGTGCTTCAGCAATAGCCTGTTTATTTCAGTGCAGTGGGGAACCGTTCTTGCCAGTTTGTCTTGGAGAGTCCACACCAGTCCAGATTTCCGAGGACACAGCTCACGTGGGTGTTATCTGCGGTACTCCTAACTATAAGTTAACCAGGTCAGACAGTTCGTTCGTAATGAAAACGTAAACACGGAGTTGCCGCAGTGCCAGCTGTTTAATTCACCGCAGTAACCATGGTAACCACGGACGCTGGGTGGATGTAACCCTCGTGTCTGCAACACATGGCTAAAAACTATTTTCCATTGTTTGTCCCACCAAACATCCAACCATTTAAAATCAAGGCGCTGCTGCGCTGTGCTGAGAAACAAAAGGTAAAAGTTGCGTTTAAGGTTTATTTATCCAACAAACAAAAGATCAGTGTTCGTTGTTTCCTGCTGCTTCTCCTGCTCTGGTACAGAACCACAGGCCCACCCGGTGCATGCTGGTCCTATACTCGTCCTGAGTGACTTTCAAAGAAAAACAGCAAAACTAAAGTTAAGCAATTATTAACCTACAAATAAAACTTGTAAATAACCCCAAAATATAAGTAAACTGAGAACAAAATTTAACACTTTTCAAAGTAATAAAATGAGAATTATTTTTGTCTTTAGATTAATTAAATAATTAGTTAAATATTAACTTAGTTATTGTTTTGCTTTGCCAGCGCACCTCTCAATGAAGTCGCTAGATGGCGCCGTGCGCTCGGGATAACCGAGCAGGGCTGCTGTGCAGGTGTTTAGCGCATGCAGGTGAGTGTCAAAGCAGCATGTAGCTCTGATGAGAGAGCGCTGACTCAGTGGGGAAGGTTTAATGCGCAGCACTGAATGAAAGTGGATCACATGATTCGCTGTGACACAGCCGGAGGAGCCAACGCTGCAGGGAGGTTAAATGGGAAGTGTAGAGATGCTGATTAGAGACGGCAGGTTTGCTTTGTGCGCCGTCTGCAGTGCTGATACTGATCATCGGTGAACTCTCAGTAGCTGTGCTCACGCAGGCCTGAACCTGAGGTTTGACTGAGAACCAGAATATGTGATTTACTCTCATATTCACAGAGTCTGTTCAGCAACAACAAGGCGGCCCCAAACCTGAGAGAGCAGCAGAACACAGCAGCTGAGCAACGTCTTCAGTATGTTAGAAAAACCTCTTACAGAGTCTGTTTCACCGGCATGAACATCACAACCCAAAGCAGAGGATGAGGCTGGCTGCACATGCAAGCAGGGGGCTGTAGTTCCCAGCAGAATCAGTCACGGACTCAGCTTTGTGAAATCAGGTCTGCCATCAGGATCGGAGTGCTTGTGCCGGTCAGCGTCGACGCCTGCAGCCTGTTCTGAGTCGCCGTGAGTGTCACAGATACGTGGACCACGTGAACGTTTTCAAAGGGCTGATCTGGCCCACGAGCCACGAGTTGGTGAGAGAGGGAGAGGAGTTCAGAAATAAAACAGCTGCACAGCTGCACGTGAGCATGGAAGGTTTTCTGGCACTTGAAAAGTTTATCAGCAGAGTTTTCAGTGTGTAAACACAGCGTGTGTTTACCCTGAATTAACTCCCTATGTGATGACTCCAAAAAGCCAGCATCAATAAATCACTGATATTATGATTCACCGTGGCAACCAGCCAGAAAGATCCCCAGCTTACCTCAGCCTGCACGAGCTGGGTGAGGTAAGCTGCATGCCTGAGGCGTGTACGTATGGATCTCGCTCTGCAATCAATTCAATCACTAAAGTCAGAAGTGGCCGAAGGTCGGTGTTGTCAAGGCTCTGTGTGCGGGCAGGCGGAGAGGAGGATCCAAACGCTGGACTCGAACATAGATTTGAGAATCAAAACCACAGCTTTATTGCTCGCCAGAAAACAAAACATTAACCAAACATGAAAACACAAGCTGGAACACACAGGCACGGTCTGAGGGTGAACAGACGTTAACTACGCGACACTGACATAAAGACACACTGGGTTTAAATACACTGAGGGAGTCATCAAGGAATTAGAGACAGAAGGGGGACACAGCTGGGAGAAATAAGACCTAACGAGACATGGAGAGCGAAGCCGGAATACTGACATCAGACAGGAACAAGAACCTTCAAAGTAAAACAGGAAACAA